AAAAAAAAAAAAAAAAAAAAAAGAAACGCGAGAGCCGAGACGAGAGAGAAAAACTGGGAATATATATGAAATCAAAATGGTAGCGCGGCGCGAAAAATGTGATTTGGAGAAATATAGGAGAAAAAATTTGGTGACACACACATAACATACATCAACTGCGCCGAATGCAATTATAATCTTTTCACGGCTCGTTGAAAATTATTTTTATTCCCAGTCGTCATTAGAGATCTTCGTGTTATATAGATTATGAGCTTAAGCTAAATACCAAGTGAAAGAACGGCAAAATTTCAACTTTGTTATTAAACGTTGTTATTAAACAAGACGAATGTGTATGTGTGTTGTGATAAATATAAGATCAAACAAACAGACTGAATTACCACGTAAACGATTTCTGATATTAAATGTTTCTGTCGGTAAATAAAATATCCATTACATTTTCAATTAGACGGCGTTTGTGTTTGTGCCCTACATATATTAATTAATTAAATGTAAATAAAAAATGTAGGGTAAAAAGAAATATCAAAGTATCATATATACCGTTTGCGCTGCACACGTTACTTCCTTCGCGCGCGATGTTATTTGTTCGCCGAATCGCGTACTAAAATAATGTTACGCGAATGGAAATATGATTCGTGCACAGACAGGCGGAAAAGCAGCACGTGAAAGTACAAACCTTTCGTATAAAACAAACATTGATTCTCACTTGCAAATATTTGACGATAGGTGCGGCACCACCCAAACTCTCACGTTAATTCTGAAAGGATGAGGCCGCCCCGTTTCGTACGAACACGTAAATGACGCGCAAAACATTATGGCGCATCTCCCGCGTTTTAATTAAACGTCACATCGGATATATAATGCGTTGATTGTATACTTATATTTATATCCCAATTATAATTTCGCGCAAAATGCATAAACGGATTGTCATTGGTTCATTTTGCATCAACAACGGAATTATCGGATCGTCTATAAATCTTGCGAACATATTCGAATTCAACATCCGATATCTGGTACGTGTGCGGTACAGCAGCGACGCACACGGGACATTTAATTTAACATGTGCATTGAATCTGCGTCTAGACGAAGAGAAATGTGACCACAATACTCTCCTTCTTCATTCGATCTATCACGTGATGCGATAAAAAGAAACGACATCTCTGCAACACCTCTTCTATTGAATATTGCAGATACCGCATTACTCCGGAGCGTTATAGCGAACAGCTGAATGCCGAAGTAAACGACGACTTCGACACGTCGTCGTCCGCTTTCCGTCCACTCTCCACCGAAGCAACGGACCTTCGCATGGGCGTAGCGAGCTTCTGCAAAGCGTTCCCGTGGCACTTTGTCGTCGACCGTCAGCTGGAACTTGTGCAGCTTGGTGTTGGCTTTATGAGAATTTTCGGCCATCACCTCAACCGACTCGGTCGAGAGATATCGACGTATTTCGTCTTTACGCGACCCCACGGCGTAACTCTGACCTTTCACGAGATTCTGAAGCGCGCGAACACGCCGTTCATCTTGACCCTTCAGCGACCGCACGGCATCGATAAATATCCCGCGGAGGTATGTTCATAATATGATTTACTTAAACGCAGGGAGTGGATCAACTTACTTGGGAAACCCGAGTGTATCTATTTCGATCTCTCTCTCTCTCTCTCTCTCTCTCTCTTTCCTCCTTCGCTTTTGCTCTTTCATCGTAAACGCAAACATGTAAATGAAAGCAAACTAAGCGAGGAGATTATTTGAGTTGACAACAACTCGCTACACAAAATTATCGACATATTCGCTCGAACAAGTTGAAGTAAACACGGCGAGGTAAAATCGATAATAAAAAGCTTCGATATTTTTACAGGGTCTAGAAATGAAAGGCCAGATGGTACACTGTCCGGAGTCCGACTCAATTTTATTCGTCAGCTCGCCGTTCTTGAACGGCTTAGAGGGTTTAACAGGCCGAGGACTTTTCATTTCTGATATTCCACTTCACGATGCCACGAGAGATGTTATACTCGTCGGCGAGCAAGCCCGGGCACAGGTGACTAAATTTTATAAGCCGGTTTACTCGGCTGTGAATAAGCCGGCGCCACTCGTAATGCTCATCGTAAAAACTCGAAACGTTTTTATGGCATTTTTGTATCATTAACGGTTTGAAATGCGTTTATTTCGTCACGAAAGAGTAATTACACAGTACTTCATTTATTTATAACGTATACTTAAATATGACATAGGTCGACATTTCGGTTATTATATCTGTACGAAAGTACAATGGTGAGTAATCTCCTTTCAGGATGGCTTAAGAAGACGTATGGACAAGTTGAAGAGCTCCATAGAGGAGGCCAACTTGGCGGTCGATGCGGAAAGAGAAAAGAATGTTAGCCTTCTACATCTTATATTTCCACCGGATATTGCGAAGCGACTGTGGCTGGGTAAATTACAACTATCTATATCCAATCATAGAAGATATAGTAATATTCTTGCGAGTTTCTTTTTCGAAGTTTCTCTTTCTCTGCACTCTTGAGACATATGGGACAATCACAAGAAAGCAGAAAAAAAAATTAATGAAAAGAATATAGATAATAAAAAAATTAGTTGCAAAAGAAATATTTAATTGCTGCTAGATTAAAATAGAGTCAGTGCATTTTATATAATTATTAATAAATTTTTTATATAATTATAAATAAATGAATTTATATAATTATTAATAATTATTTTATATAATTATCAATAAATGAATTATAAATGAAGTATATTAAATACATATACAGTCAAACCTCGATAACTCGAACTTCTATAAGACGGAAATTTTTTTATTCCCTTCTGCTCCCGCGGAAAGGAAAACAAACTTCGATAAATCGAAACCTCTACAACTCGAAGATTTTAGCTCTTCCCTTGAGATTCGAGTTATCAAGGTTCGATTGTATTTTAAACTAAGAATATTAATATCATATAGTTAAATATTTCAATTATCTAGGAGAAACAATCGAGGCAAAGACGTATCCGGACGTTACGATGCTGTTTAGCGACATAGTCGGCTTCACATCTATTTGCGCTACGGCAACACCGATGATGGTCATTAATATGCTTCAAAATCTCTACGAACAATTTGATCTTTATTGCGGACAGCTGGATGTGTACAAGGTGCGTTAATTTGTGTAAAGAGGTACATCGGTAAATATAACTTTATATCACTCTTTGCAAAGTCACACATAGATAAATATCTAATGTAATTACTTGTGCTGATTGTCACAACACTTAAAAATCAGATAAAGCAACAATTAAAGTCAATTACGATTTGAAGTCGGTAACTGATAATAATCGAAGATAAATTTTTCATGAAAAATATTTTTCTACATGAAGTGGAACAATATGATTTCTTACTTATCGCTCAATCATACGCGTGATGTCACTCTTACCAATTACGAATTATTAAGCAACGTTTTATCAAACCGATCGGTATCTCGCAATTATCGTGTCTGGTGGATAATATCTGAAATTTATCTCGTTCAGTAACGAGAATGCACAACGTCGCCATCTGTGAAACAGTTAACGAACTCGTACCCACACGATAAAACTTACTCACACGGAACACCTCTACACAAACCTCCATTAGATGTTCATTAGACGTCGCATGAAGTTACGAACGTCCATTAGACGTCTAATGAACATTACGTCTGCGTGGATACGCGCGGTTAAATTCGCGTATCTCTTATATGTCGCGAGTTCTCTCGCGTTTTCCGAACAACATTATAAATAATATAATATATGCCAATATATAGAACAAAATGGAATGTTGGTTTTTTAAACGTCGGTTTAATTTATCGAAGAAATTCTAATAATGCGATACGCAACAATAACAACAGTTATTATATACGAACGTGAATGGAAGTTCCATCGATTTTATTTTATTCTTGTAACAGGTAGAAACAATCGGCGATGCATATTGCGTTGCATGCGGCCTTCATCGAAATACCAATACACACGCGCAGCAAATTGCATGGATGGGCCTAAAGATGATACAAACGTGCTCTCATCACTTGACTCACGAAGGCAAGCCAATAAAGGTATTACATGCTGATTACAGATAAGATCGTCGCTATAATGCGACGTTGATGCAATTTTCCTTTCCTTCGCACCGCGTTGATGCTGATAATACAACGCGGTGCGGTTTAAAGCCCGTTGCACAATAGGAAGGAATAGCGATAGAAATAACGTCAGTTTTAAAAAGTTTATATTTATAAATAACGGTAGGAACATCGGAATCTCGAACATACAAAAATACACGTGTATCAATGCAGATCAGAAAACGGAGGATGAGCAATAAAATTTCCGACGAGTTGGAATTCTGTGTCTATTGCTTTATCGCTATCACTCATTTCCTCGCATTGTGCAAGGAGCTTAAATATTATATTTATACTTTCTTATATTTGTAATTCCGTACAATTTGTGGCAAATTATATAACGTCAGTTTTAATTTGAGTGGAGGAACAGATTTGATTTTATATAAATTACATTTTTATACTCGGAGATTTTTCACTATTTTCTTCTGAACATGTTTATTAATTGTATAGATTAACTTTTTTTATTTTTTCACAAGACGTTATTACTCGTGTTTGTTTTTTATTTGAGAACAACGATCGGTACACAGCAGCGGTTCTCTCTCTCCTCTCTCTTCTCGACTTATCACTACTTCTCTCAAAGTTTTTCAATTGAGAGAAAGCCGCTTCTGAATATAACATATCCACTCGAGCAAAAACACCCTGTTTATTATTCCCATCTAGAATGCTATTAAAACTTTTCTCGTTTAAAATATTTCTTAACTGCGATAACAAGCGGTTGCGGTGAAAATTCGATGAAATGCGAGACCCGACATCGACATCCACAACGATTTACGTGATCTTTCGTATTCCCATTAATGAAATTTCCTCGAGCGTAATATTGTTTTTCTTATACAACTTTTTCTATATTTATAATATGTAATATACAAGAACTTTTTAATTTTTATTCACTTACACGATTGGTGTGAGTTTGGTTTATTTTACTGTTCGTCAGATGCGCATCGGAATTCATACCGGGATGGTGTTGGCGGGCGTTGTGGGCAAGAAGATGCCGAGATATTGTCTCTTTGGACACAACGTAACGTTGGCAAACAAATTTGAATCCACGAGCGAGCCGCTTCGTGTCAACGTCAGTCCGACTACGTACCTGTACGTGATGATGTTTGGTTCGAAACACCGTCTTTTGTGTACTGTGCACGTGCGTTGACAATAACCGGCACAAATGTTTTCACAGGTACTTAGTACAAAACTCGGGATTCATATTGGAACCGCGGACCAAGGATAATTTACCGAAAGAAATCTCAGCCAATATAACAGGCACGTGTTATTTTTTGAACGGCTATCAGCACAGTGACGTAAGCGAGAGCGAACCTCTCGACATCCACATTCGAGCTGCAATGAAGACGCTTGGCATCAATAGCAACATGTAGATACATACCTTCCAATTTGGGAGAACGCGCACGGACGAGGCCGATCAGATGTGTGTTACTTCAACATTATTAACGTCGATACTAGCGACGACACACCCGACATTACCAAACCGATCGATGTATATGGTGTGCTCTCAAGCTGGCACTAAAAGGTACATTAAAAGCATGGCGCTAATTGTGCGAACACGTTACAAGAAACACCTGTGCGAATACACTATTTATACGCAGAGTCATAGAGAGAGATTGTAATCATTATATACCTATTAAATATAAGAGAAGCAGAAGTAAAAACTGTACTATAACCATCAAGAGCGTACGTATATTTGTTATTTATTAAAAAAAAAAAACCCTGTCCGGATAAGTCCAACTTTCAAATATTAAACCCACACATTTTCTCCCACGATCTAACTCCCAATGCAAATTCTGTAATTTTCTTATTTATACTTTCGTAATTTTCTTATTTTTACTCCGATTATTCAAATATTTAACTGCAGATATTCATTTCAAGATATATTTTATACGATACTTGTATTTCATTTACGCAAGTTCGATCACGTAAATAAAATAACACGCCGGTTTTATTATTGAAACTTGAGCTATATTCGCTCTTAAAATAAAAACAATAATTTATATTCTGGTTTTTATCTCACAATCAGTTTACTTCGTCTGTCGCTTTTTTTTACAATGAATACTCGTTTTTCAATAAAAATGGAATAGAAGTGAGACTTTACACACAGCTGAGAGATTATATTTCACACAAAAACGGTCCGCTTTCTGATATCTGAGATAAGATTAGATGAGTTACAGAAAACTTGACTTATTTCATTTTTCAGAGACGTATAGATAAAATTTATACCGTCAGTATCGAGCGCGTTCTTTTGATAAGAATTAATATATAAAACAGCTGTTTGTATTTCGATTTTATAACCATTGTTAGTCTGTATTTTCAAACTGTAATAAAGATTAAGAGCGCCTCCGTCGTCTAAATGACAAAAAAGTAAAATATAAAATTAAGAACGAAAGAATGTACAAAATGAAGAAAGAAAAAGAAAAACGAAATAAATCGTACATCGTTATGTCACTAAATTACCAAACTATATATTTATATAATGAACATAAAAAATAAGACAAAAGTAAAGACAAAAATAGTTTTATAAGTATTTTCTCTCAAACAGATCTGCTTTTATATTCTCATATTCTAAAATAAGAACCAATTTCGTTATAAATTAAAACAAAACGACATAAATACAAAATATATATTTTTATCTTTCATTATTCACAGAGAGAGTATATTGAGTATATATATTATATAATATATACTAAACACAGATATATTTAACAAAATAAAAAATTACAATTAAGATAATTAATATGATTCTTTACACGACTTAGTTTTTATTTTCTTAATTAATTTAATTTAATTTAATTATCTAATTCTCTTAGTTCTTCAGACTCTTGTTCCAAACATTACCGGTCTCACTTGTCTATAGATATCAAACAATGAAATACGATCAATTTGAACACAAAAGAAGACCCGGAACGTCTCCCTCTATAAAAAAAAACAATGAATCAATCAACAACATTGCTGGCGGCTTTTTGAGTTCTATTTTTTACCACTTAGGCGATGAAAGCGCTGTTAATCTGCGTTACACGGCAAAGCATTGTGAGAATAATAATACAAATGGGGATACCTATTAGCCCGTAGTCTAAAGAATTATGTGTGTATAAGGGAGCAATTACATTTATATAAGACACGATATACAATCACAGAATATTTTAACTTTTATTCAGGAACTTCAGTTTCTGATTGAGTGGCAAGTGTTATTAAGTATAAAATAAAAAAAAAGTTTTGCTAAAAATATAAAAAAAAAAAAAGACAAAAAGAAACAAGGAGTATAGAAAAGTGGAAGAAGAAAAGGCAAAAAGAGCGTTTATTCCATATCTATTGTTCTTTTTTGCGAACTTGTTAGCGCAGAATATAAATAGGCAGATTAAGGAAATATTAAATTGTTACGCGTATGGCAATTAAACGAGTAACAGCGGATAAAACAGGCGCGTGTAACTGATGGAGAGCGCGACTAGTGGCGGAAAGAAGAAACTTGAGAAAAACAGCGTATTATTTGAAAGAAGTGTGTAGGAGTCAGAAAAAGAAGAGAAAAAAGATAGAGAAAAGCACAAGAGAGGGGTAGTGCGGCAGACATACTTGCTTGAAAGAGAGGAAATAGAAAGAGATCGTATTAAAAAAAAAAAAAAGAGACGGAGAAGAGGTTACCTACAAAGATAGATGCTGCGAAAAAATTCTGAAAGAAATAGAAACGGAGACAGAGATTGAAGGTGTTAGGTAAGAGGTTGGTGAGAAAGAGAGAGATAAGGGATGAAATTAGTTATAGTGTAGCGCGGAGAAAAAGAGGATGTTACTACTATTACCACCTCTATACTATTTCAACTTTTGCGAAAGCGTTTTCTCCCGGGGAAACTTTCGACTGTGTTGTACAAAGTAGCGGCTTTTAAGATAATAACGCTGGTTTGTGTGGATCACGGTAATAACTAATTGTGCCGTTCTTTCTCGGGAACGAAACGCGGCGCGGCAGTCCGCGTTTATTGAAAAGCGCGCGCGACCTCTTTCCGCTCTTTAACATAACCGTGCGCGCATCGTTTTACCAAGGGTACAAAAGGGAAGATGACACGTATTGTAAAACTAAAAACTAAGGGAGAGGAGATGGTTTCACAAAGCCCCGCTGTCACCGACGGTCCACTCTATTCGCTCACGCATGTGCGCGCTTGCGTGTGTACACATATTGTGCGCGGGCGCATGTTTGCTCCGGCAATCTGCTCCTGTGTCTTTAATGTTTCTTATAGTGGCATTTATGCAAGGAACGAAAAAATTAAAACATTGTCCCTTCCGGCTATGCCGTATAATCAAACGCTCGGGATAAAACGAAGCTTTCGTTAAAGAATCCTAAGAGAGAGGAGTCTGCTGTGTGACGGTGTAGGATATTAAAATATGCGAGAAGACAAAAAAGAATAATGACACCGGCACGAAAGATACTGCCAAGCATCAATGTACACGAAACAATGTGTTAAATATCATGTATCACACGACAAAGTTGCTGGAAAAGTCGTCGCTCCAAAGGCGGTATAACACAAATACAATATAAAAAATACAACATATAAACGTAAATAAGTGAAAAAAATCATTGAGAACTAAATACGAAAAAAAAGAAACTGAAAAAGAATAAAGAATATTTCTCAAAATGAAAGAAAATAAACAAAAAGAAAACTTGACTTAAAAGAATTGCAGAAAAAATCTACACTGATTACTTGGAGAGAGAGAGAACCTTGAATAATGTCAATATTAACTAAAATGTAATTACGTTTAATCGAGTAAATATTTTAATAAGATATGCGCATCGTTAAACATCTTCACGGTAGGTATTTCGAGTGCCTCGAGTTTAATACGCGTGACATGATTCACATTCTCCGCTTAATTACATTCTCTTAATAGTTTCGAACAATGCGAAGTAATTGGAACATTAGCTCAATATGTTTATGAGAGCGTTATATTGAGGTTTGCATTATTGTGAAAATAGTTATATATACATATATATAGAATCTTAGATGTTATTGTTGAGTTTATGTGTGTCTCCGTTTTTTGCTGTAACACAATTATTATCCTTAAAAATCATAAAAATGCTTTCAATTTCGCACACCTTTATCTTGGGTGTTGTCACCACTTTTCACCCAAGAGGACAACTATGAGACAACTCTGAAAAATTACAGTAGCCGCTTACACTACAAAAGTTTCATTACAGAACACCTCGTTATTTACTTTCACACCTGTCTCGGGTCTCCACCACAATATGTCCAATTATATTGTTACCGAGTAATTGATTAATTAATATTAACCAATCAATGCGAGAATAGTACAATTTTTCCAACATTGATTATGTAACCACTATTTTATTTGTTTTTGTCACGCTGGTTTTAGTTTTTTTTTACAGAATCATTTGCGTCTTCGGTATTTGCAAAACTAGATTTTTTTTCATGCAAATTTTCTACATACGACACGTGCACACGTTCAGTGAAAACCATTTTAAATTGCGCAAATTGTCTATATAACCGTTTTTATTGTAAATACAAATTTAGTATAATAATTTATTCACGTGTGAAATACGATATGTGCATATCCTTGTGTCGCAGACCGTCGTCTCGCCGACTCGATTAAATTGCAATAACGCGATATTGGTTTACCTGACTATACAAAGCGGATCGAAACAAATGTTAAATACTTAGTGTCTGCTGTCATGTAACCGTGTGTGTATCGACTACTTTTTGCGCGCGTGTTCTCTATTTGAAAAATTGGCAGATGAAGCAAAGATGGTTTCGTCGCATGACGTTCATCCACTATGGAACAGACGCTCGTAATGTACGGATAGCGCTGCCAACGTCAAAAGAGTTACATAAGCCGTCGTATCTGAGTAATAATCATCATCTTTGAAAAACTGATTTATTAAGCAAGAAGATCGAGAAATGTAAATAAATCTCACAATAATCCAAACTCGGTATAAAAATAGACATTTAACCAGGTTTTGTGTAATTTAAGCAAATTCAGTAAATATCATATTTAGTTCAATGTTCATCCACACATTCGTATCGCATTGTTAAACATAATAATACCTAATTCACAATGTTTGAAGTAATGCGATTTATATTAATTAAACTAAATCCTGTGGCGCGGATTTAATACGTTTATTGATTCTCTCTCTCTCTCTCTTTCTCTCTTTCTATATATATATTATATATATATATATATATATATATATTTATATTTATATCGTCACTGTGTATGTATTTTGTTTTGACATCAGTTTGTTTATATACAGCTGAAATGTTCGATTATTTTTTACAATATATAATTAAATTATATAATAATATTCTAATTATTTTTTACATATATATAAGATTATATTACATAAGATATATAATATGTCGTACAAATGTAGAAATATATATTTCGTAGATATATTTTTGTAGATATATTTCATTATTTCTAAAACTAAGTATATATAATGGAAATATTAAGCAATTTAATCAAAAATATTCACAAAAAGAATTTAATTGCTTCTCGTAAAATAAAAAAATTTATGAATAATTAAAGACCACTGAAATTACATTGCCATCGAAATGTATTAATACATTTTCTCTTATATAATTGCAAGTGCACAATTTCTTTATTTTTTTCCGTTATATTGGTACGTGCTTTAATATTTTATTAGCCACTGCGCGACA